TCTCCTGCGTGGTAGTTCCACTCCTTCTCTTCTTCCAGCTTCTTTTCTGCGGCTGTCTGAGGTCGGGAGAAACGTTTTAAGTTGTCCTTATGGACATCGCGGCTTTTCCCATCGCTTCCACGAACCTCTACGAGGTTCCCTTGGGTCCTGGTGACCGGAAACGGTCCATCATAGGCTGGACGCAGCTTGCTGCCAGATTTCTGGTTCATGGTTGCTGTCACAACCAGATCTCCTACTTTTATATCCCTTTCCATTGTCCTTTTTCCCTTGTTATTTCTCATTCCGACCTTTTCCTGGTTTATTTTAAGTTGGTTTCTGACATGTTGGTGCAATTGATGTTCTTTTTCAATATTTCTTTCTTCTTTCTTTTCTATGATGTTTTCCTCTTTTCCTGTGGAGGTGTTAATTTCTTTCTCTTTTTCCAACCCTCGGTCTAGACTCATGCGAGCGTCTGCTCCGAACAATGTGACGTATGGTGATACTCCTGTTGTTGCACTAACACAAGTATTCAGTGAATAAATGATTTTCGGAAGATAATTATCCCAATTGGTTTGTTCTTCGTTAACATAGTGTGTGAGCGCTTCTTCTATTGTTCTATGCAATCTTTCAACTTGTCCGTTGGCGTTCTTTTGATGAGGAATTGTCCTCTCATGTCTTATCCCTTGCTTTTCGCACATTTCTTTGAAATCTTTCGACATAAAGTTAGATCCACGGTCGGTGATCAGTCGTCCCGGTGGTCCAAAAATAAAGACGAAGTTTCTCAAGAATCTGTCGATCACTACTTCTTTATGAATTGAGGGGATAGGAATGGCTACTGACCATTTAGAAAATGCATCTTGGATTGTTAAGACATTTGCGTTTTTTCGCGATTTTCTTGTCAGGGGACCAAGGATATCCATATGGATCCTGGAAAAAGGCTTATCAGGGATTTCGAACCTTCCTATAGGTTGTACGGTCATTTCATGAGGGTTTTTCTTCCTTTGCGCACATTTGATACAGCTCTTAATGTGACTGGATATATCTTCTTTCATATTTGACCAAAAGAAA